AATATTTTTTTTTATTTTTTTATAATATTTTTTTTTATTTTTTTTTTTCAACGTTTATTTATTTTTGGGACAGAGAGAGACAGAGCATGAACGGGCGAGGGGCAGAGAGAGAGGGAGACACAGAATCGGAAACAGGCTCCAGGCTCTGAGCCATCAGCCCAGAGCCTGACGCGGGGCTCGAACTCACGGACCGTGAGATCGTGACCTGGTTGAAGTCGGACGCTTAACCGACTGCGCCACCCAGGCGCCCCGCTTTTTATTTAAAAACACAAGGATCTGAAGTAACTAAGGGAAAAGGTTAACAATGGTTACACTTGGGTAGTGGCCACACGTCAACAAGCCCGGTTGCGAACGACGGGATCCGCTCTAGCTAGTTTACGCAGGAAACAAATGGCTCGCAGACAGGCCCAGGCTTGGAAATCGGGTTACACAGCTTGAAGAAATGCCCTTACACCAGAGTGGCTGCAGAGGGGGACCTGCTGGCACCCTTGGAGCACTGCTGCCTTGGAAGCCACAAGTCACTGCTCCCCTCGACAAAGTGCATCCCATGTGCCACTCTGTCTTCCTGGTGTCACTCCCAAATGTCACACAAGTGTGTCTGCTGGTGACTCTTGCTGAGCTAGGCTGGCTCAGTTGGTAAAGCATGCGACTCCTGATCTCAGAATCGTGAGTTCAAGTCCCATGTTGGGCGTGAAGCCTGGCTGAGCCACAGCTGCCAGGTAATTTCGGAAAGTAAGTTCCACTCTTGCACTTGCTGAGATAAGATCCATAAAGGGGGAAGTCACCAGAGTGGATGTTCACACAGTGCTAGGTCTCCGAAAAGCATGACAGATGTCCACTCACATAAGGGTGAAGTTCTGCATGTCTCTGTATAAAAATACACAACTATTTTGTTTAAAATAGCCCATAATTCAAAAAAAAAAAAAAGATCAAAGTATAAATCCACAAAGGGGATGGGAGAGGAAAGCAGGAGTAGACAAGAAATTTCCAGCAATCTCCAAAAGATGTGACTAATACAACAGTAGAGGATGTCACCACCTAGACTGGATGTGGAGGGAGCCCATCAGAAGAGAGAGCCGATGGGCCTGGAGAAGCCCAGAGGTGGTAAAAGACAGAAGAGGAGCTAAAAGGGGGATTAGAGGTCTATATACAAACCAGTTGACCTCAACCCCATATCCCCGATCTCCAAATACAGAAAGGCCTGAGTCCAGGTTACCTCCCCCCAGGCAAAATATTGGAGGGATCTCGTAAGTGAAAGAACTGTCTGGGAGGAACAAGAGCAGTCAACATAGGCATTGGTCACCGAAACCGAAGACCCCATCATTTTAGCATTTCGAAAATCCCCATCGTGACAGCCAGCATCAGTACTCATCCTCACAGAAGCTAAACCTTGCCTGGACCACAGAGCTGCCATCCAATCTCCCCACAACCACCTTTCCAACTAAAACTAATAACCAACAATCACTAGATTTTGGAGGCTGGGGGGAAAACCCTGAAACATGAAAAATTGAGATAAGCAAAAAAAATCTATCGCTTGAGGAAAGATAGAATTCAGGGACCAGGAAATAAATGAATATAATTCTATCTGTTCTTTAGAGTCACACAGAGGGCTGGCTCTCTGGTAGAGGACGCAACTCTTGATCTCAGGGTCATGAGTTCAAGTCCCACATTCGGCATGGAGCCTACTTAAAAAAAAAAAAAAGGTTCAGAAAGATACAGTGTCTGTTAAACATGAATTTCAATTAAAAAGATAAAGATAGAAAGAAAGAGAGAAAGAAAGAAAGAAAGAAAGAAAGAAAGAAAGAAAGAAAAGAGAGAGGGGTAAAATACAGATCTAAAACCTAACTAAATGGTATTAGAGAAACAGAAAAAGGAATATTTAAAAAGAAAAATTCCCTAGAGCTCAAGAGTTATCAAAATTGAAAGCACCAGAATGATTAAAAACCTAGATAGGTATGAAACATCTAGGTCATCTAGAACATCAAGGTCCTAAAAGTACCCCAAGTGTGTATGCATGTAGGGGTGTGGTAGGGCAGGTAATATGGAGGAAGTCAGGTTTAAGAAACAGTTTATTTAAAAAGGAACAAAATCAGACAGGGTATCAGACTTTTCATTAGCAATATCAGATGCCAGAAGTTAACCTGAGTTGCTTTCAAAATCTTGACAGAAAATTACCTTTCAGGGGCGCCAGGGTAGCCCAGTCGGTTAAGTGTCTGACTTCGGCTCAGATCACGATCTTGCAGTCTGTGAGTTTGAGCCCACATTGGGCTCTGTGCTGACAGCTCAGAGCCTGGAGCCTGCTTCAGATTCTGTCTCCCTCTCTCTCTGCCCCTCCTGCACTTATGCTCTGTCTCTCTCTCTCTCTCTCAATAATAAATAAGCGTAAAAAGAAAATTACATTTCAGTCTACAACTCTAGCCAGTTGACCACATGTAAGTTGCAAAACAAAGCTCCCTTAGACATGCAAGGGCTCACCTCTTAGACACTTTTTCTTAAGATGGAACTCACTAGAGATTCCAACACAATGAGAAAGTTCCAAAGGAACAGGAAGATATGGTCTCTAGGAAGTAGATCCCACCCAGGGAAGAAATCAAATCTTCAGAAGAAACCTGTGTACTAAGCCCAGAAAGCAAAGTGTTCAACCTGGAACAGAAAGAAATCTTTTGGCCAAACAGTTTTAAAAGGGCTGATAATCAAGATTTGCCCCAGACACGGGAAGCAGGCACTCCCAGACTGTTGTTGGGACTGCCATTTGGCAAAACCTTGTGGAGGCTAAGCTCTGGTAGCATCTGTCAATAATTCTACTACCAGAGTCTATTCCTCTGACGTCACTTATATGTGAGGCGGTGTAGAGCATGCGGGTGAAGTTACGTGGGTCCACATTCCAGCTTTGCTACTGGCCAGTTCTACAGTCTGTCGGTTTCCTCCCTTACAAAATGGAAACGCCTTGTCAACACATTTTGAGGATTAAATAAGAGATTCCATGTGAAAGGCTTAGCACCATGGCCAGAACATAGGAAATATTGTTAACTTGGTCAATACTCAACTAATCTAACCGCAAAGCACTTAAACATTTTGTACAAAAATGTTTACCGTGCCATTGTTTAAAATAGCAAAAATGGGGGCGCCCAGGTAGCCCAGTCAGTTCAGTGTCTGACCGCGGCTCAGGTTGTGATCTTGTGGTTCATGAGTTCGAGCCCCACATCGGGCTCACTGCAGTCAGAGTGACCCTCTATCCCCCTCTCTCTCTGCACCTCTCCCACTCACTCTCTCTCTCTCAAAAATAAAAAAAAGAAAATAAGATAGCAAAAACGGAAACTAGTATGATCCTTTGTTTTCAAAAGATTCCACTTGTATCTGTACATGTGCTTATACATGTAGAAAAAAGAACTGAATGGAGAAAACATGTCAAGGTGTTATATCTGGGGAGCTGGAGGGCGCAGGGTTGTTTCTGCGTAAAATTTTTATTGTGAACAGCATAAGCTGTCTTATCCTTTAAAGAAAGGAAAAAGTATAAATTAGTATAAATCTTAGGGAGAAAAAGACAGTTAATCTTTATAAGCCCACACAAACATTTTGTAGAAAACTTTTATTTTAATTTACTATATAATTTTTAGGAAATTACTGGGTCGATGCACTTTCCTCTGTAGGTTTAGTTTGATCTTCAGTTACCTGTGAAAACATGAATAGCTTTACTTTTCTAATAAAAACAACTTTTAGTTCCACCCTCCCCCCACCATTTTAGATCATTCCACAGTCCTTCTCCTATAATGACCCCCAGTCTTTCTCCTTCGTTAGTAATTATTAAAGAAAGGTAAGTAGAAAAAGAAGAAACCTTATAAGGCCAGGGTCACAACAGAAATTATCAAGTAAAGTACAACAATTCCACTCAAAATATAATGAGGCATCCACCTAGGCTTCCCAAGTTTGTCGTTTTATTTTTCAATTACAAAATGAAATCCTTAGTGTGAGAAAAAGCCCAGTAATGCTGTAACACAGTATTTTTAATCAACAGAGTTTCTTGAGAGACATAATTCTATTTTAAACATAGAATATTACAGGTCTAGTAGAAATAGGGACCTGTGTGTCCCTATTTCTAGTCTGTGTCACTCAAACACATCCATCAAACAGCTAAACTATACTCATCACCCCAAAACCTGCCCCACGTCGTGCATTACCTATCTCGCTGAGGGGCTCTGCCCAGCTACCCGAGCCTGCCGCTGCAGAATCCAGGTTCCCTTCTGTGCACATTTCAAGCAACAAGAATTCAACGAACTCTACCCGGGGCTCTCACCGCAACACCTGAACTTGAGGCTCTCATCTCTTCCATCCCTCTAACAGACTGCGGGCTTACGTCACAGCTTTCTCCCGTGCTGCCCCAGAGTGAGCTCTGGAACAGGAATAGCCGACCAATAGGTCACTTCCTTTCTCAAATTCCCAGTTGCCTCCAATCACCTTCAGGAGGGGCATGCAAATTCCCTACCATGGAAGACAAGCCCCTCAGACGCTATTTCCAAGAAGCTCACTTTGTTGGACTCATCGCCCACACTCCATACGACTGTACACCCAGGTTTATGTTCTAGTCACCATGCTCTCCATTTCTCCGTGCTTTTAGGCAAGCAGTTTCCTCTGAGATAACTACCAAGCCAGCCCCCCAACCCAGCCCCAAGCAACCCCACATACCAAAGGGTGAGCTCAAAACCTGGCATGACACATACATAACAAGCACTGACTGGGTTCACAGACTGAGTGTAAAAGTACTAGCAGAAACAATTAGAAAACTATACGAGGAGGCATATAATCCAGCAGAAACTGTAGGAATAGATATTTGTTCAGTGATTGCTCTGAGAAGGTTTCATGGAAACAGTAAGACTTGGACGAAGTACTGAAGAATGAGTCGGATATTTCATTTATATACAGGAGGAGAAAGGGAAACAGAGTCCAGACAGAAAAAACTGCCATGAATAAACAAACCAGAAAACAAGTCTGAGTTAAGAATACTAGTGTTGTATATTTGAAGGTTGCTGAAAGTAGATTTTAAAAGTTCTCATCACACACACACACACACACACACACACACACACACACACAGGATATGTCACTCTGTGAGGTGATGGATATGCTAGCTAACCTTGTTGTGTAATCGGTCTGCAATCCATACACACATCAAATCATTGCAGGGTACGTCTTACACTTAAACAATGTTAGGTGTCATACATCTCAGTAAAGCTGGGAAGAAATAAAGTGATATAAGAATGTAAACTAAAAAAAAAAAAAAGTTTGAGTGTATTTGCAAGCTTGACTAGAGTAGAAAATTACAATAACCAGGATGAGTTCAAGGAGGCCAGACTACACAGAATAGCTCTCAGATAATGTAACTAAAGACTAAGTACTTAGTCTATGAAAGAGTAAACAGGGATAGAACTGGTCAAGAAACATAATCATTCCTACTTGTGAAATGTAAATACTAATGACACAGAATGAGCTACAAACCCAAGTACCCAGGGAATTTGCACATCTGTCAACCAACAGTCAAGGCAGCTTCAAAATACATGTGACAAATCTCACTCTTTAAACGTTCATTAAGCTTACAAAAAATACCATCTCTTGAAGACCCAATTAACACCACTGGACCCCCGTAAGAACTATCGCTATTATACCGCAGTCCCCTTATTCTTCTTCAGGTTCCACAACATCATTTCCACAATATTCACAAATAAAAACAAGAGAATTGCCAAATTACAGCTCTTCTCTTGCCAAGATACTACTGGGGTCAACAGCTACAACACCGCTTTAGCTACAGAGACAACCAATTAACTTTTTTCTTCTGTGTTCTTTTATTTCTTTATTTACTGTTGTGTTGTTGTTGCTTAATTTCAAAACAACTTTCTTCATGGAACAGTACGCATTAGCTGTCAAAAATACTTACCATTTTCCGAGACCTCTCCAATAGCTTATTCCATATAGTAAAATGTGCCTTGAAAAGAAAAGAGTCACGATGAATTAAACAAAGCAATGAAGTTAAAAGTAGCTGAGTCTTATATAGGTTTTAAGCAAGCAAACACATAAAAAGGAAGGCAGTACTAATGAGGTTAAGTGGTTACAGAAGTGGATTAGAGTAGGGGAAAAGGTATTTAATGGGACAGCCACTTTGTTTGGCATTTAAGCAAAAAAGACTAAGTCTTTTTTAAGACTTTTTAAAGAACATGCCATTCTTCCTCTTTTGTCCTTAATCATCACCATCATAGACAGTGTTTCTTCTAACAGGAAGCAAAACTGTGCCCCATCTTCCCACAGGTTGTAGTTCTTTCCTTAAATAGCCATTTGCAACCAGCTAGAGGTCATTCTCCACACCACCAGCAGTCACAAGGAGAGGTTCATCAGAAACCGACTGATATCTTCACACTGAAATGGGAGCCCCAGAGGTTTTACCTAATTACCCTAAGAACAAGTAAAAACTAACGCAGACAATAATAAAATTATAAAACCAATTTACTTAATCCTTAACAATTTTATATAGCAAGGGATCGTCAGAATGCAGATGAAAACTGTGCCAAATGCATAAGGACCACATCAATTTTACTAAGTCACATGAATGACCTGGCAGAATCCATGATAAAAGGTAAAATTACTATATGTACACGTAAGCCCTTCTGGAGAAAAGAGCAGCATCGCATGTTTAAAGGGAAGACAGCCGAATGGACTGCTGGTGCAGACCCCGGAGTGTGTGGCTGGAAGACAGCAGATGACAGAGAAAGTGCTATGAGAGATCAGAGAGGCAGGCAGGGGCCAGGTAATGCAGGCCTTTGTGAGACAGGCTACAGGGTTGGGATCTGTTTACAAGAAGCCACTGGAGTGTTTGGGGCAAAGGGATCACGTGATCTGATTTGAGTATGAAAAAGGCCATTCTGGCTACTAAGCAGGGAATGTGCTTTGGAGGGGGAGCATCCTCGGTGATGAGTAAGGGGCTTAGAAAGAGTGGTGAGCACAGATGAGACGCTACGTGATGGAAGGTATTCAGGGCATGTTTCAGAGTTGAGCTGAAAGGTCTTGCTGCTGGATGGGACGGAGCATGGCTGGGAGGGAGAGAGAAAAGCCAAGGATCACTTCACAGCTAAGCAGATGATGATGCCATTTGCTGAAATGCAGAAAGCTAGGACAGGAAGCAGGTATGTGGCGAAAAACAGAACATATGCTAAAAATTACAAAATGTTGATGAAAGAGATGAGGATTTAAACAAAAGATATACTGTGTTCATAGACTAGAAGACTCAATTTAGTAATGATGTCAATTCTCCCTAAATTATACGGGTTTAACTCAATTCCTATCAAAATCTCAGCAAGATTTGTCAAATCAGAAAGATTATCCTAAAATTAAATGAAAAGGCAAAGAACCGAAAATAGTTAAAACAATTTTTGTAAATAATAACAACATGGGATGAATTATTCCACCTGATTTGAAGAACTATTTACAGCTACAGTAATCAAGACTGTGACACTGGCAGGACAGAGACACACATCAATGGAACAGAACAGGGAACCCAGAAATAGACCCATTAAATATGCCCAACTGATTTTTAATAAGGGTGAAAGCAATTTACTGGAGGAAGGACAGCCTTTCCAACAAAATGGTGCTGGAGAACCTTGACACGTACAGGCAGGAAAAGTGCACCTCCACCTCCTTCTCACGCCGTGTACAAAACTTAACACAAAGTGGACCACAAACCTATACAAAAAACTATAAAACTTTTAGGGAGAAAAAGAGGAAGACAAATCTTTGGGATCCAGATCCAGACCAAGAATTCCTGGAATTAACACCAAAAGCATGATCCATAAACAAAAACTAATAAACTGGACTTCATCAAGATTAAAAACTTCTGGGGAGCCTGGGGGGCTCAGTCGGTTAAGCGTCCAACTTCGCCTCAGGTCATGATCTCACAGTTCATGGGCTCAAGCCCCACACTGGGCTCTGTGTTGACAGCTCAGAGCCTGCTTTGGATTCTGTGTCTCCTTCTCTCTCTTCCACTCTCCTGCTCATGCTCTCTCTCTCAAAAATAAACATTAAAAAAAAATTTTTTTTTAATTTAAAATTTATGATCTGCAAAACTTCTGATCTTTTGTTAAGAAGATAAAAAGACAAACCACAGAGAGAAAATATTTGCAAACTATGTATCTAACAAAGGACCGATATCTAGAATATACTAGGAAAAAACTCTCAAAATTCAACAATTGAAAAAGCAAACAATCCAGTTAGAACATAAGCAAAAAACATAAATTTCCCACCAAAAAAGATATACAGATGGCATATAAACACATGAAAAGATGTCAACACAATTAGCCAATAGGAAAACACAAATTAAAACCACAATGAGAAATCATACAAACTTACCATAATGGCTCAGATAAAAAATAGTGACAATGTCAAATACCAGGAATGGCAAAATGGCAGTCACTGTGGAACTCAGTGTGATAGTTTCCTAAAAACTAAACATGTGCCTTCTAACCGAGCAACTTTACTCCTGGGCATTTATCCCAGAAAGATGAAAACATATATTCACAAAAACTGGTACACCAATGTTCATAGCAGCCTTATTCGTAATAGCCAAAGAACTAGAAACAACCCAAATGTCCTTTAATGGGTGAATGGTTCAACTAACCACAGTAGATCCACACCACAGAATACTACTCAGCAATTAGAAAGAAAGAAAGAAAGAAAGAAAGAAAGAAAGAAAGAAAGAGAAAGCAAGCTACCGATACATACAACTTGGATGAATCCTCAGAGAATTACTACTGAGTGAAAAAAACCCAATCCCAAAAGACTGTACAATGCATGATCCTATTCATATGAGACTCTTGAAATGAAAATGCATAGGAACAGAGAACAGATGAGTATTTGCCAGGGGCAAGGAGGTGGGGGTGGGGCAGAGGAGAGTGGGCGTGGCTATCGATAGCCAATAGGAGAGAGCCGTGTGAAGACACTGTACTACATCTTCACTGTGTCACAGTCCATACTTTGGTTGCGAAAGTTTGCAAGGTGTCAGCATTGGGGAAACTAGGTAAAGGGATCAAGGATCTCTCTATTACTTCTTGTAACTGCATGTGGACCTACAAAGATTTTGAACTATCTCAGAATCCAAAGTTGATTAATAGAACTACCCTACAAGCCAGCAATTGCACTACCAGGTATTTATCCAAAAGATTAAAAAATGCTGATTAGAAGGGGCACATGCACCCCAATGTTTAAAGCAGCACTATCGACAATAGCCAAAGTATGGAAAAGAGCCCAAATGTCCATCCACTGATGAATGGATAAAGATGTGGTGTGAATATATATGTGTGTGTACACACACACACACACACCATGGAATACTACTCGGCGAAGAAAAAGAATGAAATCTTGTCATTTGCAACAACGTGGATGGAACTAGAGTGTATTATGCTAAGTGAAGTAAGTCAGTCAGAGAAAGACAAATATCATATCATTTCACTCATATGTGGAATTTTAAGAAACAAAACAGATTAACATAGGGAAAGGGAAGCAAAAATAAGATACAAACAGAGAGGGAGACAATCCCTAAGAGGCTCTTAAATACAGAGAACAAACTGAGGGGTGCTCGATGGGTGTTGGGTGGGGGGATGGGCTAAACAGGCAAGGGGCATTAAGGAGGATGGCCAGTGTCGGGATGAGCACTGGGTGTTATATGTAAGTGAAGAATCACTAAATTCTACCCCTGAAAGCATTATTATACTATGTGTTAACTGACTTGGATTTAAAGTAAAAAAAAAAAAAAAAAAAAATTAGTGACGGGTGGGAGCAATATGGAAAATAAAAGACTCTGAGTCATGAATAGATCATGCCAAACCTAAGACCAAAAGGCATTCTAGAGGGTCTTACCAACATGCACTCCAATAATCTCAATGCACCCTCCCCTATATTAATTTGAAAAATTAAAATAACTACCTCAGTTTGATTCAACTTTTTCAACTAATATCTCTTTCGTGAATTATCCGTTTACATTCTGAGCAAAATTGTTCTTAGCATAAACATGAATTTACAAAACATTAGCGTCACAAAATTTAATGAAAATTAAAATGTACATCCTTCAAATTAGTATAAAATCAAGAACCAGAATGACATCCGCTCCCAAATTGGACGACCTGAAACTTTCAGCTTTACTTACTCTTAAGTGTACCGGTAAAGACAGACCCTGGAATCTTCGTACAAGACTCAACTGCGTGGCTTGAAGATTGTGAACTGCTGATACTTCATACTGGAAACAAATACTTGTTCTTGGAATAAGAGGACCCTCACTCACATCAATGAAGTCACCAAATCTGATTGATTTTAAAAATAAACAAATAAAACCTCAAAATCAAATCGTGTAGAGGAGTTTGGGGGAAAAAAGAATCTATTCATTCTCTTTGAGGCAATGTCCACAATCAAGAACATTCTATATGGCTCAATTCAATCTCTAATTGCCCCTGACGTAATAATCTCAAGTGAAGCGGCTAAAACTATGAAAATTAAAGTCAAGTAAACCTTGTTCCTTACTAGCATTGATATAACTTTAGAGATTTTTAAGATCATTGAACACATCATGCTCTCAAGTGAATCCAATGTCTAAAACCGATCATCTACGACCTCATAACAACTCACTGTAATAGAGTTTAGAACTCACTATACAGGACAGATTGTCCAAAGAGCAGCTTTCTAAAAGAAAAAAATTAACTGAGTCATGAAAACATGAAGCTGAGAACATAGATACAGGCCATGAAGTCATTTCTGCAAATCCATTATGCACGGTCTTACCTCCCTCATCCCAGTATCAGCACATTCCTATTTCACTTACACGTAACATAAGTAGTTACCAGTCAGTATCCATATTTGCACATACACGTGAATTATGCTCAATTCACAACAATGAATATTTTGCCCAATTTCAAAGTTAAGTTTTAAAAATCACATTTTTAAACAATGGTTTTCAACTCTTGAAATGCGGAAATAGAAATAAGAAACAATAAAACGAGGAACAGAAACCACAATGGCTCCTGAAGAGAATTTAAACCTTCCAATTACCACCGTACCAAAACAATGCACAAAGCAACAGAAAATAAGGTAAAAAGAATAACAAATTATGGCACAGATTCATCTTTTTCAGTCATAACTGTACGTTCAGTCAGGTCAATTCCACTGCCTAAGTCTTCCTATAAATTAGCAGGACAGCAACTTTATTTTTACTTACCTGTGCAGCTTGACTATCCTCTCAGGGTTCTGAGATGCCTTCTCTTCTATGAAATCCGTTTTGTACCTAAAGAGGAACAAAGAAAAAGCGACTTACTCCTAAATGCACAAAAAGGGATTTAAGGACATCTCCCCTCTCTTACTCGTTGGCCAGAGTTTTTCAGACGGGTTTACACTTGGAGTCTCCTCTTCACACCTCACCTCCTTCAGTCTGGCCACAAGCTCACGGCTCCGCCAAAACCATAGGTACCTCCCTGGCCTCACCCTAACGGACACCTTTCTGTCCTTATTTCCACTGTTCACCTCCATCTGTCAAAGTGCTCATTTCCACTGGTTTCTGTGGCACTCCCTACTGCTTGTTATTTCAACTCTCTGGCCACTCTTCCTCCTCTCTCCCCTTCAGGGGACCTGTCCTAAAGCCTCCTTTCAAGCAAGCATCCTCCCTGGGCTGGCTCCTTGATGCGCACAGCTCTAATTACCACTTCTGTGTCCTTATCTTCCATATCTCAGCGTCTAATCCACATCCTTCTTCTGAGCCCCAAACTATGTATCTAAGACCCTTCCGGACACGCACTAGGCTGTTCCACAAGCATCTTACACTCCTGAATTCTCAAACAGAGTGAAAACTTGCTCCTTCTTTTCCCACCACACTTACCCCCATTGCTGAATTTCCTCGCTTAGCAAATGGCACCACCAACCACCCACGTGTCTGAGAGAAAAACTGCCGGGATCTCCTCAATTCCTGCTTCACCTACCACACCCCCTCCATCCAACGCATTGCCAAATCACGTCAATGCTACTGCCTAAATGTCTCTCAAACCTACCCAGTTCTGTCACTACAGCTAATAGCACAGACGGAACTGCACAGCCCAGGTACAAACCATAACTTTACCACTCACTACTAAGAGCCTTCTCTCTTCATGCCAGAGTGCTAAAAAGTATCACGTTTGTATATGGCAAACTCCGGAAGCATTAGTTCACGTGCAAACATCTACCTACTGCCCACACCCCTTCTGCCAAAGCCCCCATGCATTACTAAGGATGCCAGTTACCTTGACTACCTGTCTCTCTTGACCCAACTCGAAGAAATGCACCTGTCCCCGGGGAGCCGAAGCCAGTTAGTTAAAACTCTCCCTGCAGCAGAAAAGCCCAATCACAGATCTACCTTCAACCACCCAAAACTCTGTCCCTTCAAACTTGCCCCAAGCCATCCCTATGTCCTTCCACACATTCAACTAACTTACCAAAGTCCTATAAGCCTCTCCTGGACTTTGAAAGTCCAGTGGAGGGGATGGGAAATCACATGGAATGAACAGCTAGAGTAAATAAACTATGGAAGCTATGGAGCACTTAAATGTAATTAGTCCTAACTGAAATGTGCCTCGAGACTAAAACACACCAGATTCTGAGGACTTAGTATGAAAAAGAGAATACAAAATATCATTAATTTCTAAATACTGATCACATGTTGAAATAACATTTACATACACTTTAAATAAAATGTATTATTAAAATTTACTTCACCTTTTCTTTTGACTTTTTTACTGTAGCTACCAGAAAATTTACTTCTCTAGATGTCTCACATTATATCTCTATTGGACAGCATGACCCTAGAATTGGGGCACTGGAAGTGTCTTGATATGTTCTAACAATCCAAGGAATTTTCTTATAGAATCAACGGTGGTTTGGTTCTACAGAACTACCTGCACTCTAGTTCTGTTAAAATAGTACATTCCTATTGCTTTCTAATTCACTGGTTCCAGGCTATGCAAAATATTATAAACTACCATTACGAGAACGTATGTCTCAATTCACAAATACCTAAAGATTTTCCAATCCAGAACCTTGAACAATTTGCAAGAGCATATTCTGTCTTCAGAATCTAGCATCTATGTTATTTTCTTTGCAATGTAGATTTCCCTAACTAGTTCTAGCTTCAATTAGATTAATACTAAAACATAGTTTATGTTGTTACAATTAGTAAAAGGTAAACTGGAAGTTTTCCGAGTGAGAAAGGGAATTAAGAACGCAGGGAGGATTTAAAATGTTGGCAAAGGGGGCGCCTGGGTGGCGCAGTCGGTTAAGCGTCCGACTTCAGCCAGGTCACGATCTCGCGGTCCGTGAGTTCGAGCCCCGGGTCGGGCTCTGGGCTGATGGCTCAGAGCCTGGAGCCTGTTTCCAATTCTGTGTCTCCCTCTCTCTGCCCCTCCCCCATTCATGCTCTGTCTCTGTCCCAAAAATTTAAATAAATAAATAAATAAATAAATAAAATGCTGGCAAAGAAAATCCCCCTAATGGATAATTTGGTGCAGAAGATGAAGACCCACCCGGCTGTGTAAACGTTTCACTTCTCCCCTTAGCTCCCTCCAGACCACGGGCATTCTCTATCTCACCCTTCACATTTAAAGAGTAGAGGATAAGGGGCGCCTGGGTGGCGCAGTCGGTTAAGCGTCCCACTTCAGCCAGGTCACTGATCTCGCGGTCCGTGAGTTCGAGCCCCGCGTCGGGCTCTGGGCTGATGGCTCAGAGCCTGGAGCCTGTTTCCGATTCTGTGTCTCCCTCTCTCTCTGCCCCTCGCCCGTTCATGCTCTGTCTCTCTCTGTCCCAAAAATAAATAAACGTTGGAAAAAAAAAAAAATTTAAAGAGTAGAGGATGAGAAGGAAAGGCTGCCGAACGTGCAAAATGATACAGCTTCATGTATGCTATCACCTGACGATGGAAGGAACAGAGGGAAACACACCACCAAGCTGATATGAGGACGGACCAGCCGGAGAAACAGAGAAGTGAGACCAAGTGAGAAAATTACCAAAGGTGAGCGAAGTTTTTTTCTCAGGGAAATAAATAATGGGATGAGTAAGTAAATAAGTAAAGAGGCTGGGAAGTGGGATGAATGAAAGTAAATAGGTTGGTACAGAAAAAGAGATCTTAGAGCTAAAAATAGAACAGTGTCCTACCCACGTCAGATATAAAGATTCTTAAGAGCTGAATTTCCTTCATTACATGTAACTTTGGGGGGTTTAGCCTTGCTTTCAAGGAAGCCAACACTTACTTGTTGTGCTGAAATATTTCCAATGCCACTTTTGCTTCCATTTCCAGAGTTTCAAATGGAAGATCTTTGTAAATTAAAGCACGGGCATCTTTTGTGAAGGAACGCAGGTTCTCCTTCGAAAGGAAAGTATTAACCTTTTGTAACAATTTACTTAAAAGCATTTCTCCATAAGGAAGGTCAGATAAAATCGTATGCTAAATATTATAAATCCAACTAAAAGAAAAAGCAAAAGCAAACTTATTCGGAAAGAAAGTTATTAATTTGCAACAATTATTTAGACCATTTTTAGACCGTAAAATGTAAGGTCAACAATTTATCTCAACTCTATGAACTATAAACTTGTAATTTACTTGTAATTAAGATATCAGTCTATATTAATAATTATTAAAGATAATCCTACAAAGAAATTTTAAGTTTTTATTCGAATTACATAATTAAATGTTCATTAAAACAACGATGCAGTTAGAAACGCTAAGAAATAAAAGATATAAAAATCTGTTTACATTGTAAGCAAAACTAAGCTTTTATAAATGCACAGGGAAAACACTGTTTATGTGATTCAGAAAGTTTCACCAGGAAACGTAATGTCATCATTGGCCCTGCCCCAAATATGGCATATATCTAATATTAAAAACCTGTTTAATGAAGAGGTTTTATGCAATTAAAATCATTAATACACATTAACAATATCTGAGATTTTTATTAAAACCATAATTGAGTTTTCATACTATAGATCCTTCATTACTGATACAGAAAAACCAGGCACTATTACACAACTTTTGTAATAAAATTATTTCCATAAACTATGAGACTTTTTTTGCACGAATGACTCTTCTCCATTCTTAAAGGGATAACTGACTGTATAACAAATCCACATTCACAGTTTATACAGCTGTTCCTTGCGTAACTCTCTACCACTTCTTCTAAGCAGTCCACCCAATACCATGATGCCTGCAATCAGCCAGTGCCTTTTAAGTTTTATATTTAAAACTTGTTTTTGTAAGTTTATTTACCTATCTTGAAAGAGACAGTGGCGGAAGGGCAAAGAGGTAGGGAGAGAGAATCCCAAGCAGGCTCTGCACTGTCAGCACAGAGCCCTATGTGGGTCTCGAACTTGAAGAACCGTGAGATAATGACCTGAGCTGAAATCAAGAGTCAGAGGCTCAACCAAGTGAGCCACCCAGGTGCCCTTTTAAGTTTTATATTTAAAACAGGAAAAAGAAGCAGCAAGTTTTACAGCTCAGAAGTGAATCTTGATTGCGTTCATTTTTATGACGTAAATAATGCAAATATATAAAGTAAGAATCACTTCTTCAACTTGAGGGCATATCTGAAAAATAAATTATATTGACACAGTTCAGAGATCACGAAGAGAAAGTTTCAATCCCTTCCCTGCCCCCTTCCCTATCTCTCTTTCTACCTCTCTTCCCTCCCTTTCTTTGTTCTTTCCTGTTTCCCTCCTCTCTCCCTCTTGACACTAAGCAACATGAGCAGGATTATACAAGAAATAACTTCCAAAGTCAGAATGTAAACCTGAATCTGCTTTGACTCCAAAATTTTGCTTTTAGGAACTATAATATTTCACTAAAATGCACCACTAAGGAAAAAAACACTGGCAATTATAATCGTAAGATGCCATCTATTATAAGACACATTTTGGGGGCGCCTGGGAGGCTCAGTCGGTTAAGCATCCGACTTCAGCTCAGGTCATGATCTCGTGGTTCGTGAGTTCAAGCCCTGCATCAGGCTCTGTGCTGAGAGCTCAGAGCCTGGAGCCTGCTTCAGATTCTGTACCTCTGTCTCTCTGTCCCTCCCCTGCTCGCTCTCTGCTGTCTCTCTGTCTCTCTCACAAATAAACATTAAAAAAAATTTTTTTTAAGACATTTCCAGAAATACTAAAGTGTGAAAAAAACGTACACTGTGGAATTGATAAAATGCTATGCTACACTGCCTTTCCTTTTCTGACCTCCAGACTTTCAATCTGTAGAACATACGGTTTTGCTTAATTAAGAATCAGGCATCTGCCTTGTCTCCCCAATCATAACTAAAATCTCTGGGCTGGACATCTGAAAGCCACCGGCACATCCTACCCACAGAGAATCTGATCCAGATCGTCTTTGTCAGCCAGGTCCCTGGTGCTACCCAACTCCCAGATCAAACAGGAGAACGCTCATCGTGCAATCAGACCATTCACCAAGAGTCTAGTCTGTTGCTATTTGAGTTAGCTTAGCTTTGTCAAAGTCTGATTCTTAATTCACTAACCGTCTACCCCCTCCACCCCTCCTCTCAGCGTAACCCTGGTATACGGGGAGACCTCGCAGTGTGCAACAGGTTAAAACGGTTAGGGCAATGAGTTTTACATTGTGCTCTGAGGACCCAGGAAGTTAGTAAGGCTCCAGGGCCCTCACCACCACATCAACTAAGACAATAAAACTTGTAAATTTGATAGCTTGGGCATCTTGAAAACCACTATCTTAAGAAAAGGAATGAACAGTACAAGGAAGAAAGCACTTCCAGAAAAGGTCAAGCAGGACATAAAGCTGACCACATGAGGAAAACCCCCATTCCTATGCTCTGTCTTGAATACACTGAAAATGCAACACAGGTAGGCAGGTAAGGTCTTTCAAATATCCTCAACATGCAGTATCACTCAACAACACTGACACAAGAATTGTTCTAACCAAAGAAGGTACATACTCTAAAATTCATATTCTAAACACTATACTTACTTTTGTTGGCATCCACTCATCAAGTCTCTTATCCAGAACTACATCATAGCAGAAGGCTCCAGAGATTACTGTAAATCCAACCAAAATGAGAGGCAAAGTCAAATCTACTAGTTACTAATTTGCAACAACTGAATATTTAGACCATAAAAGGGAAGGCCAGCAATCTCTGCCAACTCTACAAATTATAAAAGTTACCATTATCCCAGCTCTTGCCAGAGCTCTCTCTACCAGCTTTCCCTCACTCACTCTCTTTCTGTTGAACCAAAATCCCTAGTACTTCTTAAACATTCACATTTTCATCCAGAATATTATCACTATAGAGACTTCATAGTTACTAGACATAAAACTTCAAAAGAATCAGATATTTAATATGTAGACAAATGACTACGTGGGCATGAAATGTTGAATTTTTTAATGTCTTCTAAGCTTTGTTTTTGTTGTTTTGTTCTTAGAATCACTTATTGAGCTTTTTTAAGTTTTTTGGCGTATATACTCCTATCTTTTTTTGAAAATTTACAAATGCGATCCTATTGCACATACTGACGCAGAATCTTGGCAAAATTGCAAAGGCTGTGAACTCTTCCATCTTCTCAAAAGTGTTCCCCCCCCCCGCCCCAGAGTCATGTCATTTCTGCTGAAACGGTACCTCCCAAACATAGCTTTTTCCAGAATTCTATTTATATTCCTATTTCCTCCTCCTCCACACATTCGATTTAGAAGTAAGTGCCTAAAGTGGTAGGAAACAAACACTGAAACAGGGTAATTACACAGAATTCATATTCAAGAGAAACATTATCCTCGAATTGTATTATGTTAATTATTGACCTCCAGTAATTAAATAAGATGGATTTTGTTACCGGTTATAAATGGAATGTATGTACGACAGTAATTTCTATCACATAAAATTAGAAATGAGCTAAAAAAAAAAAAAAAAAAGAAGCTCGGGGCGCCTGGGTGGCTCAGTCAGTTAAGTGTCCGACTTCGGCTCAGGACATGATCTCACGGTTCGTGAGTTCGAGCCCCTCATCGGACTCTGTGTTGACAGCTCAGAGCCTGGAGCCTGCTTTGGATTCTGTGTCTCCCTCTCTCTCTCTGCTCCTCCCCTGCCCATGTTCTGTCTCTCTCTCTCCTTCAATAATAAATAAAAACATTAAAAAAAATTAAAAAAGAAAAAATAGAAGCTCTATAAAATATCAAAAATAGGTACCAAAATATTCAATGATTACAAAATCCGTGTGTGCACGCATATGTACATTACCAGGAACTTCTGGAGCTCTGACCAAACTGACCACATATTCATCTTTGAATGCCCTCTCTATCACACAGCCCATCATCATGGCACAGGAACGCCAATAAGCCTAGAAAAATAAAACATACACAAACATAATACACACTAAGATTCACTGTTTCTTCAATATTAAAATTTAGGTTAACTCTCAACTACATGGATGGAACTGAAGGGTATTATGCTAAGCAAAATTAACCAGTCAAAGAAAGACAAATATCATAGGACTTCACTCATATGAAGAATTTAAGATACAAAACAGATGTACATAAGGGAAGGAAAGCAAAAATAGTATTAAAACAAAGAGGGAGACAAAACATAAGAGACTCTTAGACATAGAGAACAAACTGAGGGTTGCTGGAGGGGCTGTGGGGGAAGGGGGAATGGGCTAAATGGGTAAGAGGCATTAGGGAGGACACCTGTTGGGATGAGTACTGGGTGTTACACATTGGGAATGAATCACTGGAATCTACTCCTGAAATCATTATAGTAGCACTATACGCTAACTAACTTGGATGTAAATTGAAAAATAAATAAGTAAATAAAAAGAAATTTTTGGTTAACTTTTGACTTAGGAACTATTTTTCTATCCATCCTTGGCACATAGCAATAGTTAACATCAGGCCACGACATTACCTCTACCGAGCAAAAAGCACTGAAGAATGAAGTACCGACTTCTGTTGTTAGCAGTGTTTCTGTACAAGATATCACACACTATGATGTTTATCAAACACAAGATAGTTTTACTATCCGGTAGCAACTTTTCTCTTTAACCCAGGATAAAGAGAACTTGTTAACAAACCTGTACTAAAGTAAAAAATATATACATATTAATATACACCTGTTTACGCCATATATAATAGAGAGGGAACACTGAACTCTTCAGAACTTGTGACTCCTCTCCTATGCCTAACACCACAGAGCACATCACCCAAGTTACTCATATTTACGGCAGAGCAAACTCACTATTAACTGGGCTTTCGTTTTACTCGCACGTTTTGACCCATGGACATGCCTAATGTGGGTATCCATGCAATAACCTTATCAGAGTCGTAAAGAGAAACTCAAGTCCTATCATACCCGCCTATCTTGTGCCCCACACTGGCACTACTACAACTGGGCACTTGACTTTCACAAGTTCTTCACATCTGCGGACAAGAGTGGGCCCACTTGGCTGTGTGCAGCAGAGACCGCTCTAGAACGTATCCTACAGAACCACACAACATACACTAAAAAGGAGTACAAACTCAGGTCTTGAAGGCAAGTAGCAAAACGCACTTCCTCGTCTATCCTACTTAAATGTGTTTAATGTCTGTTGAACTCCAGAATCAGAATGCCTGGACTAAAATCCAGGCTCTAGTATTTCCTAAACTGGTAACCTTGGTCAAGCTACCGAACCTCTCTTTGCCTCAGTTTATTCTTCTGGGAAATGGGAACGATAGCATCTATTTTTATGTGGTTTTTATGAAGATTAAATGAGTTAATACCTGTAAATCACCTAAGACAGTGCCTGATACATAATTAATACTTGATATAAGCTACTATTATCATATCTATCGTTTTCTTGCTTAAGTGTTTTATTTCAACATGTATTTATTAAATACCCATTGTATGTAAGTCAAGGACTGGGTCCAATAGAGGATGTGATCCCTGTCCTCACAGAGCCAAGAATCCAATGCATTCAACAGTTCACATCACAAGGCATGATTAAAATACTATATCTGAAGAAGTTAGCCAAGTGTGAGGCCCTAAACAGAGGGATTCATCCCGACAAGAAGAAACTGGGAAGACTGCACAGAGCAGACAGCATTTTAATAGAACTATAAACGATAAACAGGATTTTAACAGGGAGGAAAGAAAATACCCCGAGTTGAAGAAGGACACCTATGAAAGCCAGGAGGCTCACACAGCAAAAACCACTAGTGGCCACGTCCTCAAATGTGGCCACAGCAGAGAGGAAGTGGAAAGATGCAGCGAAGGTGAAGCTTGAAAGCCACGCTGGGGTCAGATCCCACAGGGCCTGAAAAGTCATGAGGAAGAAATGACACAACACTCAGTCATGCCGCGTAACGAAAGTCTTACAGGCCTCCTAAGGAAGACTTTAGTATTAAAGAGGGAGGTGGGGACAGAGAGTTAAAAAGCTACTGAAATAATCCAACGATGGTCAACGGCTGAATTCAAGCAGTAGAGAGAATGAAGTATAGAGGATAATCAACAAATGTCTGTGGAACAAAGTCATGAAAGTAAAATACAAGTCGCACAGTTTTCTCAAACCAAAATACAAAGAAAGGATGCCACTGGTACTTTGTGAGCTTGTGAAAATGCAAAAAAATCAAAACGCTGATTATCACGGGCATCACTACATTTGACCTTGGCCACGTTTGCACATCTCATACTCCAAAGCAAAACAGATGTTAATAAAAAGAAGAAGAACACTAGGAGAAAAAAAAAAGAACACAGAAGTAGAAATACCTTATTCACTTCTCCAGGATCACGATCTTTGAAAGTAAGAAATTCAATCTCACAGGATTTGGTCAAAGGTTTATACATGTCCCAAGGCTGTCCGTCCACCAGAGCCAGAATGGACTTCCTGCAGTACCACTCACTTAAATCTAGGAATTTAAAACAGATTGAAGGTCTGAATCTAACAAAACTCAAATTGAAAGGTTACGTGTTTAAGTGTTACATTAAGAAATAAAACCAGGTGGGGCGCCTGGGTAGCGCAGTCGGTTAAGCGTCCGGCTTCAGCCAGGTCACGATCTCGCGGTCCGTGAGTTCGAGCCCCGCATCGGGCTCTGGGCTGATGGCTCAGAGCCTGGAGCCTGTTTCCGATTCTGTGTCTCCCTCTCTCTCTGCCCCTCCCCCGTTCATGCTCTGTCTCTCTCTGTCCCAAAAATAAATAAACGTTTGAAAAAAAAAAAATTAAAAAAAAAAAAAAGAAATAAAACCAACAGAAAGGCGAGATTCTGCAAGCTGACTTCCTCTGGGAGAAAAAAAAGTATTACATAGTACCTCTGTACCAATAAAAAAATAATACCCAACACACCCAGTGTGTTATTATTTTTTTTTTTTTTAAGAGTTTAATTGATTTTTTTTTCAACGTTTATTTATTTTTGGGACAGAGAGAGACAGAGCATGAACGGGGGAGGGGCAGAGAGAGAGGGAGACACAGAATCGGAAACAGGCTCCAGGCTCTGAGCCATCAGCCCAGAGCCCGACGCGGGGCTCAAACTCACGGACCGCGAGATCGTGACCTGGCTGAAGTCGGACGCTTAACCGACTGCGCCACCCAGGCGCCCCCCCAGTGTGTTATTATTAACAAAACTGCCAAAACCATTTACGAAAACCATTGAGGCTAAGTCTAATTTGAAGTTAATCTATTATTAACTAATAAAACAATTTGCCAAGAGTTACACTTGTACATATAAATATACATCCGTAGTAAATCTGGTCAAAATGGGTTGGGTGTCTTGCTCCTACACCACCTCGTCCTTCCCTAACATGGACTGTCCAAGTCAAATACCTTAACAGTTTTTAATTATGGGTATGAATTCACATATAAGCCCATCAGCCCTGGTCTGTTCTTTGACCGGAATGCAACTCTAACTCTAAGCCTGATTAGATGTTCTTCAAGTACACAGCTAGTCACAGAAGTGCTCAAACTACAGGGTTAGAGTCTAAATAAGTCCCACAGAGAGAGGATCATGTCTGTTGTTGTTCACTCATTAGTATATCCAGAACCTAGCCCCAGGCCTGTAATACAGTAAATACTCAAAAGTGTACTGAACGATCGAAAGTATGAATGAGAAGCACTTGTCAGTGCAGGTGTCATGCTGAGGGGGGACACAAAGGCTTCATTTCCACCCCTCAAAACCCACAAAACCCCTCAAGGGCCTGTGCTTCGTCCTAACCCTCCTCTGTAATCCTAATGCCTATCACACAGCAAAGGTTCAAGTAAATGTTCACAGAACAACCAAACAACGGTCATAAGGACTCATCCAAGTGCCAGAGTGAAAAAAAGACTGAGAATGTAGACTATCTTAAGCTTTTAACTAAAATTGTTAATTACTTGAATGGAATCACTACTCAGTTTTCCAAAAATTTAAACAATGTGGTTTAAATGAGCATCCTGGTGTATATACCTATTTGGAGAGCTTTCTAAATTTAAATATTACCAGTTCTATCAAAGCTGCTTTGAAAGCATTTTGATCAAAAATAATCCATACAGAGGCTCTGTTCCCTTCATTTACACACCAAACCACACACAGGGCACAGTCCTCTCCTTTAAGATATGAATCCCAACACACACTTTTACCCTAACCGCATTCACCCCATGCACACTTCCACTTACACATTCACTACATGTACACGGAAGTATAAAGAAACACATAACACACAATCAGACAAGCGGGAAGCACCTAAGGTTTAAGTTAGGCCATAAAGAGCTAGAAAGGAAAAGAAGGCCTATAAAGCTGGTCCTCGGAGGCCTGGGCGGTCCCTCTATCCCAAATTCCTTTCACGAGCCCCCCATGGGTGCTGTCTAAAAAAGGCAAGCACACTAATATAGTAACAAGGCTTTCACCTCCTCTTCTTCTGCCAGAAACAATTACAGCACCCCAAACCTAGCCAGATTCAAGTGAGTGCCAGGAAACCTGTGCATCACAGTACCAACCTTTCAAGACCCACAGGACCCTCCAGAGCTAAAGTGACAGTGAACAGAGAGGAAGATGCTGGATAAAGAACTTCTATAAGGTCAGGGAGCAATTACCGAGTCTTGTCTCTTCTGAACCAGTCCTTCTGCACAGCTTATTGGGAAAGTCAAAACTGTATCCTGATTCACTACTTACGCATAGCACAACTATAAGGAGTTGAAACGTTTTTATTCATCACGAAGATAGTGCCAGGGTCCGTTTTCCCAACGTGTTTAACTTCAATCTTCTCAGTTCGAGGAGTTAATGATAACTGCCTGTTTTTCTCTTTATTAAAGAGGTCATTCTGCATTTCTATCAGTTCTGTCGGTGACAGGTGCGAAGCTGGCGATGTTGCTATCAATCCTGTGTAGCAGTTACGATAAATATAAACAGTGAATGAGTAACACACCGATGATACCCCACCCCGCACCACCGTCCTACAAGAATGAATGCGGGGCAACACGATTTTAAAACGCCGTTCGCCAAAATGCGCTCAGAGATTAACTTAAACCACTTTCTAATATTAATAACTAAAATGCCAAGGGAAGAAACCCGCAGCTAGCCCAGATCCACACCTTTCCTTCAACTTGGCTCTCTCACCATCAGATCCCCATTGCCCATCAATTTCCTCTGTCGTATTCCAATCTGTGCTTTACAATAAGAGGCAAAAAGTAACCAGGAAGTAGTCAAAGTCACACTAGTCACTGGGAAGGTGAGCAAAGTTGTCGCCTTGAAACGTTTTGGGGACAAGAAAGCTCCAGGAGACCGGGGATCCCTCGCCAAAACTATCGATATCTGGAGCGAGAAATGCTGAGCTTATTTTCCAAACCCTCAATCAGAGGATTTGACAAAGCCCCTACGAGTATTCCAATGGGAAAATAAGGACACGTTTGCACCACGACGCGGGGTCCTTCTCAGAGGCGCCCCAAGCTCCTCCCACGGCCCCCTACCCAGCCGGCGCCCCGAGATCTGTGTCCCCGGGCCGGGAAGGGGTGGCCGCCACAGCCAGGACGTAAAGACCCTCCTGCGCCCGCAGCCCCGTGAGACCTCCCAGGACCCGCCTCAGGCCCAATCCGAGCCGACAATCCTTTAATCCTCTCTCTCCGTCCCCACGGCCGCTGAAACTCACTCCAGCCAGCCCCGCCAGCAGGGGCGGCCCGCCAGAGGCGCAGCCCCCGGACCCCCAAAGCCATTGCCTCCTCCGCTGCCGAAGGAACCGCCTCGCGCAGGTCCTCCTCTGCCCTCCTCCCCGGAAACTCTGAGCCCGCACCGCGTTCCGTAGAACACTTTTGTTCCGGTCCCGTCGGCCGCGCTGCACGCCTCCACCAGGGGGCGCGTTTGCGTCTCGCTGAGGATTAGTGGCGGCAGGTCAGGAGGTCTGGAGCTGGGGTACGTTCCAGGGGCGCAGAGGGTGACCAAGAGGTGCTGGACCGCAGGGCGACGGGTCCGCCACCCCCGGGGGCTGTGCAGGGAGACGGGCGTCCTCTTTGGGGTCGCAGAGTCCGACCCGCGCCATCACCCTCCTCCCTCCGCGAGTTCGAGCCCGAAAGGCTGGGAGAAACCCTTGCTCCCCGCAAAGAATATTTCTGGGGAGAAAAACTGGGCAAAGACAGCTTCTGTGGATTTGCTTTCGTGGTCTGCCCGGCCGGTCAAGCTAATGGCATCTTAACTCTCGGTTTTGTAAGGGTGATCTGCGCCAGGGTTCTCCATTTATTGAGCCATTGAAGGGAACTCTATAATTCGTATAGCTCTTTACAAGTTGGATTCGTTTGTGTAGTATACAGAGAATATAAAGAGCATGTAAAAAGGCATCCCGGTGATGCTGGCAGGCCGTTCTGCGGACCCAGAGTCTTAAGGGGGTACTTAAGAGGGTCCCTGGATGCGTGCAGGAGGCGTGCAGGAGGCGAAAACAGAGTTTATTGAAGGTACAGAGAGAGTACGATCACAGACAGTGTCGGGGGGATTCAAAGGAAAAGAGAGAGCCTCGTCTTTGCTTGGGGTCTGGGGTTTTTCACTGAGGACAGTCGGTGGTCGGGTGTAGGTGTCCTCTTAGGCATCCAGGAACCAGTGAGAACAAAGATGAGGGTCCAGGTCTTACTCCTTCAAGCCAGGGTATCTTGGTGTCCAGATGTCTAGCGCAGGTGGTCTGAATACTGTATGATAGCTTCCTCTGGTCATTCTCACCAGACTAGGATAGAACAGGATAAAAAAAAGTTATCTATTCTAAAGAAGTCCCTTACAAGGACGACATCCACTATTTGCATTATAAGGCATGTGTAAAATGGGGGTGCAGGTCCTAGCAAGAATAGCAGAGGGGGAAATAGAAGGAAAGAAAGGAAAGAAAGAAAAAGGAAGAAAAAGAGTTCTATGGAGCCCTTCAGTTTCCCTATCTCACTGGGGTGGAATTTTTGTCTCATCCCAAGGGCCCGGAACGATGCATGGCACACAGTACGAGCTCAGTAGGTACGTGTTGAATGGGGGCAGTTCCAGAGCAGCTTCTAATACCGTTGTTATACCCCAGGATGTTATTTGCCATTGAAGGAAGCATTCCGTAGATGGTAAGTATGATAATGCTTTTTATTCAAAGTTGTCGAATGCTGTGGCTTTACTTAAGGCTTGTTAAGTTCACAAATTCAACCCATGTCCTTTCCCCCCC